TTGGGCGGCGGTTTGGGGGTTTTGAGGGGGTGTACGGGGCTATTGGGGGCGGGTATGGGAGTTCTGGTGGGGCTATTGCAAAATGCCCCCCTAAGTTGAGATATATGCCAAAACGCCCCTGAAAGATGTGGTTAGAGCGGAATGCCCTTTTGGGCCGAAATCTTTGAGTTGTGCCCCTGTCAGGCGGGTGAGCAACTTTGCAATCTGGACCTCCCCATTTGGGCCTTGGCCTTTTGCAATAGCGCCTAGGAAAAGTTGGCAAGTACTGGGGCATTTTGCAAAGTTGGACGGTACCCGGTAGGGGTATATTGCAAAGATGGGGGTCCATCCGACGCTAGGGGCATTTCACAAAAAAAAATAAATTGTCAGAGGGGTATTCCGCTCTACCCACATCTTTTAGGGGCATTTTGGCATATATCTCAACTTATGGGGGCATTTTGCAAATTATCCCTTTTCTTTTTTGCGGGGTGCCGACGTCCCCCGACCGGTAGGTGCCGACCAGCCGACCGGTCGGCTGGTCGGCATCCGACCAGTCAAGGGGCGCTGACCGTCAGGGTATGCAACACCGACAATGGTTGATAAAACAAGAAAAATGGTTTTCTGGAAATGAAGAGGCACTTACATGGGCTGCATACCCGATCGCTGTCGCAGACTGTTCGTTCTCCTGCTTCTCTGAAGGTGTTCCCAGTGTCCTTCGGGATGGCACTAGCAATTGCAGCCCTGCAATCATAGCTGCCATCCCTGCCTGGAGGGTTGTGCTCTTACCTCCTTGCCCCTCTTCCAGCACTGAAGAACTCTCCCTCTGCCCTTCTGACGGCACTGACAAGTCACCCAGTTTGGCCATATGCGCCGTTGCAAGCCCTCTGCCCAGGTCAAACCTGGCCATCGACGCCAGAAGTGCACTGTGAATGGCAATTTCATGTCTGCCCTCAGAAGCCGTCACTTGTGTCGTCGGTAACCCTGCCCGAGCATTGCTGCCGAGCTGTCCATCCTGGTTGGTTTCGCCAGTTTGCTCCGCTCCATTGTCAAGATCAAGAACCGACCTTGAGGACAAGAATGCAAGATTGCTGTCGCTCGCACTCCTTGTGTGTCGACCACCTCTCGCACTCATGCTGCCCATCGGACTTGTGGAAGCAGACACTACAGGAGGCAATACAAAAGGCTGCCCGGGAAACGCGTCATTAGGAAGAGGAGGGGAATAGAAGGACGACGTAGAGGAGGTGGGAGAAAGTGAGAGGTATGATGTCGACTGCGATGTCGGTGACAAAGGTGCTGGGGAAGATGGCATGGAAGCAGAAGCACATAACGAAGGACTCGGCGGGGTGGGTGAATGTGGTCTTGATGGCGGAGACAACCAGGAGGCTACTTGTGGGATTCCACCTCTGCCATTGGTAGTCGCTGACAAAGGATAAATGGAGAGAAGCTGAGCAATCATACGTGAGCGGCGAGACCACAATGCCCTCCCGAGGTACGTCAGATGGCCATATCCTCCCTCACCTGCAAGCAGGTTGCCAGCTTCCTGCTTCACAGAGGCCAAAACAGCAGGCACCAAACGCCATGGATTCAGCCTACAAGAAAACACAACAGTTTCCATAACAAAATTATCGACTTTTCTGATAACAGCCCCATCATCATAGAGACTTTTTAGGTATATCCGTCCCTTGCTCTTCCCTTGAAGAATGATTCAAAAAAGACACTTCTTTCCAACGTCCCTTACTTATCACGAAGCCTCTCCTCTACACGGCTACCATTCTTTTGTCCCAAAGTTCTTTTTGCGACGTTTGCGTGTGCTTGAGCTAACACTTGAGAATAACGGATAGCACACTGCATGGGCCCGTAAGAGCCTTCAGAAAGCGCAACAGGAGCACAAAATCATCTATGTACGACGCAGCGACAGTGCAGCATTCAGTGCCAATAGAGGCAGTTCAGCCTCCGGGGCAATTGGGGGCAGTCCAACGTGGCAGCGATCATTGAATCACACGACCTATTGGGGTGAGAAGGGTTATGGTTTTGTGGAGAATCTACCCAGCAGTGGTCCATGCTGTCTACGATTTGTTGCTGGAAACAGCCACGCCACACGTGCATGTACAAGGCATCTCATGACCCCGTGGGCACATTGGGCACCTTGAAAGGCTGAGTTCCCAAGGAAGAGACAGCCAGAGACTATGTCGTCAAGTTGGGGACGGTTATGGGTGCATGGCGTTGCTGTGTTTGCAGTTCTGAAGGCAGTGAGTCTACGTGTGACCTTTCCCTCGTAATGAAGACTCCGTTCACCCACTGGTCTAGCTCAGGCGGTACACACCTGACCTGAACTGTAGAAATACAAACGTTCGAACTCCACTGGAAGGAAATGAGTAAAATACTACAATCCTGAATTACCTAGGGCCGGCCGGTTCGATGACCGTATCTCAAGGCCATCGCCCTTTTTTGTTTCAAAAAAACAAAAGGAGAAGACTCTGTTCTATGCATGCCAATTGCATTGTACCCTCTTTTTGTCAGTGCAAATGATTGCTCAGCCACTGTCTGCTGGTCCACTTCGGTCTTGTCCACAGAGTAGGACTAAGTCAGCCATTGATAAAAGGAAGCAATGTGAGGCACAGAGTGTTTCGCTTCTACTGTTCTCTCATAGGAACCCCATGCGCTGTCCGCATAGGTTACACCACCAGTACCTGCCAGCCATCGGCCGCGGGCCCCTTTCCGAGGCCGCCCGCCGCTGATTTATTTTATCGACGGCGCGCGGGCATCCAAAATTTTAGGAGAGGCTCAATCTGACTCTCGACTCGGCAGGGGCCATGTACTGGTGCAAGATAGTCGCCAGACCAGTCTGAGTCTCTTTTCACACTTTCAATGATACTGCCAAGGTCCTGTGCTGAAGTTCGGAGGACAAGGAATGATCCCTGTGAGAAATTTTGGGGTTCAAGAACAGGGGGGATGCTTAGCAAAGAGGGGAGTCGACAGCACGAATGACGATGGGCATGGGGAGATGACATAGTCGAAAACAGGGGAACATCATCATTAGTTTTGAAAAGAAGAGGAGAAGCAGGAGGCGGCGGCATAGGAAGGAAGGATAACATACAGAGGAAGACAGCAAAAAAGGACAAAGATGAGTGGGAGAACGATGCGCAGCCAACCCCATCATCAATATTGAAATGTTGAAAGAGGTGTGAGGAGGACAGGAAGACAGCCCCATCTTCGAGTGCCCCTCCTCGCATTCCCCTCGTTCTTTCCTCTTTTTGCCCACAGGGAAGTAACAGATGATAGCACCTCAAGCTTTTTAACATCTCCCCTTAACTTTCAAAAAAAGGAAACAATCTGGTAGACAAAAGCCAAGTAATCGTTACAGATCCCGTTTCTCTTCGCACAAGGCTCCCCAGACAGATAGAACAGTGGATTAGCAATCAGCATCTACAAGTTTGTGTTCGCATCTTCAAGCAAGTATGATTCACTTCAGGACATCCGTTAAAATTGGAACGATACAGAGAAAGAAGCTTAGGATGGCCCCTGGATGACAACGCATAAATCGAGAAAAATGGTCCAAATTAAAATGTTGGAAAAACAAACGACGTGGGCGTTATGCATCCCAACAGCAGGGAGTACAACCAAGACAGAGCAACAAAGACGACCAGATCAACGAAATGGAACCGTCAGGCACAAAGGTAACAACGGTAAACAGTGAGAAATTCATGCCTGCAGGCGTCCTCTGGCGTCGCTTACAGCCTTCACCAGAGCTGTCAGATGCTGGATACGCTGGACAACGCCATCCTGAGTTTCTGATATCTGCAATGAGAGCATTTCATTCTTCACCCATGCTGAATGTGCAGCCGCTTTCAGCTTCATCACTCTCATCCTCTGCTCTTCAAGAGCTTCTGCCTTTTGCCTCATTCGGGCCCTAGTCTGAATACAACCCCCCGACACCCAAACAGCATGTCTAGGAATCGGTACATTCAATCAAGCAAAACAGAGCACAACCAACCACCATTCCCCCCCGCCACCCAGCACTCACTATCCCCACCTCATACATCCCCATAGATTTCATCCCCCCCTTCCCCCCCCCGCCCCCTCCTCCCCTCCTCTCTTGCCAAATTTATTCACAAATAACTTTCTCACAAATGCCCGGTTCCACAAAAGAGACATAGACATGCCAACGACCCTGCACATGCATCCCGAAGCATGCGACCCACCACGTCCATATTCACTGCGCTCACATCCACGATCACACACGAGCACAAATGAGCAGAGCATGTAAACAGGCCCACCATAGAACAAGTCATTTACTCTATACACATTGTTGCACAACAATAGCACATGCGTGCATGCATCAGTTTCCCGTATCCTCTATCTACACATAGGGTAACCTTCGCAAAGCAAAACACAGATAAATTCACACAGTAAGCAAAAAATTACCCAAGACAAGGCGGTGTCGCTAAAGAAGTCTAGTTATTTATATG